ACAAGGATGAGGAATACAATAGAAGAAGGGTTAAGGAAGTGGGAGCCTGGAATACATCTGGTTATTGTTTGGTGCAGTGTTCTCAGGGCCCAATCGTCATTGGAGTGGTTTCCATCAATTTCAGCAAGCATTTAACACACAACCAGTCTGACAAACCTATCTCCAGCACACCTCAGGCACCACTGCACCAGGAAGAAATCTCAGCTGAAAGCAGGTTTGATGAAGGCTGCAATTAAGGCTTGTTCAACCAGACACTGAGTTCACACAAGAGGGAGTAAAACTAAAGGATGCCTGAAGACTCCCTGACAAGACACAGATTCTGGAATAACAGTGCAAATAATCTGCATCCTTTTCCAAAGGGCAGTGGGCCCTAAACATAAGCTTCCATGGAGTGATAATCCAGACTTACTTCTGACTGGTATCTTCTGTACACAAACAGTTGTTAAAAGCAAAATGCAGAGTATTGACAGGAGTAAACTGTAGAATTCAGACATATTTGCTAGAGCTAAGAGAAGTGTAAACCTCAAAGATAAGATGAGGGAAAGTTTCTAGGTGTAACTTGTTGAGGGAGAAAACTAAAATCAAACACCACCAGAGAACTATCAGTAACCCAAACAACAAAGAGAGGTACAAAAGGCCAGAGAAATAGCAGCCCATATGGTGGTCATGTGTAAAAAACACATTCCACAGATTGCAAAGCACTTATTTATGATTACATGAGACAGAGAAAGATGGCAAAGTTAAAACAGAAGTGTGCTTAGGCCGCAGTCATATGCCAGTTGTGCACTTCTCCACTTTTGCCCCATGGTTTCTTGACTTATTTTTCCATCAAAATAACTGTCACATTTTGGGTATGTCTAGAAGAAAAAACCAAAATCTAATATGATAATTTACAGTATTGCATGCCAGAGTCCTGCAGGAAGGGGTGGTTTTATTGAGGGAAATTCTAAGAATATATTAAGGTGGTCAACAGGCACTTGCCATAGATCTGCCCAAGAAAAATACTACTGTTACTGTGATGAATGAAGTGATAACTTCACTGCTTCTCCCCATACTGCCCATGCTTCTGTGCCCTAACAAAAGAGAAGAATAACCATGTCAGGAACATCTCTTTGTCTTCATTAATTTACATTTTTGGCTGCATACCCCAGAGGTGTGCAGCAGAGAGGAATGTGCAGGCTCAAAAGGGCTCAGCTGGAACTGCAGCCCAGTTCTGCCATAAAATGACTCAAACTTCATTAAATAAAATAAACCTGTTGTAGCCCAAGGATTGACTGACTTGCTGTTTCCTTTGCTCCTGGGTTAATACGGTGAAGTTGGCACATTGATAGAACACTCAGCAGGACAATGGGGTGTGCTGAATTCAAATGAGTCTGGTAGGACTGTAACAGGTACTTCGTACATAGCCTGCTGCTTGGAGGAAGGGAATGGAACACAGCTAAAGAAGGAAGAAAAGATGTCAAAATCTACAGTTGCGCAGTGGCATCTATTTGTCACTGAAAACAGAGGATCTTGCAGACCTTGAAGTGACTGCAAACTAGAGAAGATCATAAATTTCGTACTGGAGACCAGAGTAAAAGGATCTTCTGATTTAGATATGTCTGACTACAGATAAGCTCATTATAAAAGCTAACAGTCCATACATCCCAGTGCGACATTGTCAGAAACTTTAAACCAGATAGAGCCCAGGTATTATACCCAACCTACAGCATACATGCTTGAGCAACTGAATCATGTAGCAAACCAACACTACCAGAATGCATAAGCTGCCTTGGATACGTTCACATGCTCAGTTCACAGCTCAGCTGCAAATCATACTACACGGGAGATGTCAGGCACCAACCACGCAGAGCTGATGATGTGATGTTGTGACACCTCTCAAGAGCATGCAGGGTGGAGTCTGTCCATGAGATCCTGTGCCCATCTGCTAGAGGTTTCTCCCTGTAGAGCAACCTAGTAAGAGCTACTGCTCCAAGAGTGCTGTCAGACATCTAGTAGTCAAGAATATACAGTGGATGGCCCATTAAGCCTAATGCCTTCTGCTGAAAGCAGTAAGGAAGTCTTTCTAAATCTTAATTCTGGTTCCAAATCAGTCAGGCCAGCACTCAAGAAAGGGATGTGGGCATTGGGCTATCCAGGCTTGAGACTAAAATGCAGAATATTGAGCAAGGGCCCATACCTGTGCACTCTTGGCAAGGACTTGATGGGGAGACACAAGAGCCAACACAACAGGGAACACCAAGCAAGAGCACACATCTGAAACCTGGTCTCTTTGCATACTCAGACATTAGCTTCCTGCCAAGAGTAAGGCACCACTGTAAAACCTAAATTCAGGCTTGAAGCTGATTCCTACCATCAACAAATAGGCAGGTGAGGCTGGAATCCCAAGGAGGAGTACTTGGTGACATGACTGCTAAGACTAAGGCAGCAGATCTCTCAGGAGCCTGAATTGGCTTTCAGGAGGTACTGGGGAAAAAGCCCAGTCCATTCTGGCACAAATTATGTACAGAAGGGCAGGAAAGAGATTCTGGAAGCAAAACTGAGGCTCTGGAGAAGGAAACTGCAGACAATGAATGTTCTCTGAAAACACTGCCAGTAATCCCATGCAGGATGGGAAAGAGAGGCAGGAAAGCCAAGGTTTAATACCTGGTTGAGAAGATGGTAAAAAGAGCAGATTGGTCAGGAACTGGGGACACTTCTGGAAGGGAGGTGGCCCAAGCCAGAGGGACAGATGTCTCTAACTCATTGCACAATAGTCTTATTGGCACTTAAAATCAGGAAGGCACTTAAAAACGTGAGCAGCTTCTAAACTGGAGAGCGGAGGAAAGCAAACGAGTGCAGAGGCACAAACAGCTTTGGCTGATGCTTTTTGAAGGACAAAGCCATGGAAATCACTTATCCTCACGTAGAGGGGACAGCGTGGAACAGAATAAGTCAGACAGGACAGAAAACAGAGTAGGTGCCAGTTGTATAAAGTACTATAAGAACCAAAACAATGATACCAAATGCCAGCAATCTAGTAATTGAGAAAACTGGAATGTCTTCATCAGCTGAGGACATCAGCTAAATGCCTATTTCAGAAATCTGCAGGACAGAAGACAACCTGGGAGCTTCTCTCCACATACCACCCATTCCATTTACACACAAACCAGATAAACATGGGGTGATTTCCACTATGTTTGTGAAGACATTCTGGGAGAAATGCCCAATGGCCAATATTTATTCCATGCTAGACGCATCAGCAGTGTTCTAGCAGCAGTGTTAAGGCACAAAAACAGAGTTTGTGCCTCAGTGCACTCAGTCCCTCCCTTGGGAGAAGCTGCCACCTTTAACTACCATTTGGGCCATGTTCAGCATGCATAGTTTATCACTGCTGAATACAACATGCCTCCTATGCTATCAGGAGAACAAAGGCTAAATGCAATAGTGTTTCAGATGGAGAAGAGACTCTGACAGTTTTGGAAAGACAACAATCCCATAAACCAGAAACAACACACCAGGTAAGAAGTTAACATACCAAGGGGGCAATATATTATTGTGAGGTTCAATCCGTCACCAGCTGTCCTGCCTCAGGAGATGAGGAAGCAATACTTGAAATGGGGACTGACATAGGAAACTGAGAATCTACAAGTTCACACCTCTGCACAGGCTTGTCTTTGCACCTCTCCTCATGTTGGCAAGAAAAACTATTCTCTTTTGAGGAGCTTCTCCACTTGGTTTTGTTGGTTTTGCATCCCCTCTGTCCAGCAGTCCCATTATTTGGGTCCACTTTGCATTAACAATTACTTAAGCACCACTTCATTTTAATGCCCATCAACTTTCAATCTGTACCTCTATCAGTGTGGGGGTGTTTGACACAGGGCTGTACAATTCCTAGAGTAATTTCAAGAACGAGCTGTACCAGAGCCACAGAAAGAGAGATCCCTAGGAGGTATTTGGGTAACATAATCAATTCACACAGAGAGCGGGTGTGTGAGTATGCATGTGAGTACAAAAAAAGCCCATGTACACACCCCCCCACATCACACCAGAAGATGCAGGATCCCAGACACCAGGAGTATAAAAGCCAGCCTTTTGCATGCATTATTTCTGAAATTCCTCAAGCCCTCCTGCTTCAGAAAGCTGAATTATTTAAAATCAACTTGGAGAAGCAGGATTGCGATTTAAGGAGGAGAAAAAGAACAACATTACCTGGATCTGAGCAAATCAGGTTTTGTTTCATACTCAGTTGCTCACAAAGTTTATCATCCTGATTTCACCTCACCCAGAGCTGCAATTTTCCAACTCACAGGGTGACAAAACTAAGTTGAAACATGTATCTGAATACACCGACAGCAGTTTGACCCTGGCTGGAGTCAAACTGAGTTTTATATCTAAAGACAGCAATCACTTTTTGTGTCATCTGAAGTAACGTGGGGGGGGACAACAGTGTGAGGGATGTCACAACATGCCGTGCTACGGACTGGAAAAAGCATCTCCTTGATGGGGTCCTCTGGTCTCTGGTGTGCCCCTGGTAAAATGATCTAAGTGATTCTGGCCCGTTGCCACAAGCCCTCTTCCCTGCTGTATGTGCAGAGAAATGTGTTACAGGATTATGAACATGTCACTGGCACTGTTAGCAGTGCAGAGATAAAACCTCACTCATCTTTAGTGCAGTGAGTAGGAAAACAGATCATTCCTTTAATTATTAAGCATAAGTGAGCTATCCTCAGTTTCCCAAAGCCAGTTTAAACTGGCCCCTGCGCTGCAGATTCATGGGTTGATGGTGCAGAGCTTTAACAATATTTTGCTCTCTTTCTTTAGCTGTTTCTTACTTTGTTTTTTTCCTCCCCTGAACTCCCCAGCCCTCTGACTCTGAGGACAGAAGCACCAGGATTGAACTCTGAACAACGCTGGCAGCTCTCCTGCCTCACAGTTCACCCTCCTGCCAGCCTGCCAAGTCAGCCCTGCTGAGCACGGATGCTCACAGGGGAAGGGTTTAAGCTTTCTGCACCTCTCACCTGAGTTTGATGCCAACACAGCTCAGTGGGAGGAAGGGCCTGGCTGCAGCAAGCGGTGCGCCCGACACTCTGCAAGGCATGGCGATGTGTTGTGTCACTCAGGATACCGTTGCTCAGTAACAGTTCCTCCAGCAAACACATAGACACTGGTACATTGGCTTTGTAGCCCAGGCTGTAGGCCCGGAAGGAGCCAGGGAGGATCTGTGAAATGAAAGGGATGAGATCTGACTTTTGCCTGAAGGACCCTTTAAAGTTTTCAGTGCAGCAGAACAATGCTGTCCAATGGCCTGGGCTGCCACCTGCAAAGATCTGTCCTCTTCGCCACTTGGCTTCTGCGGGTTGCTTGTCCACCATGAAGCAAGTCCAGAGGAGGCCACAAAGACAATGAGAGGGCTGGAGAATCATTTCTGGGGAGCCAGGTTGAGAGAGCTGGGCTGGTTCAGCCTGGAGAAGGCTTAGAGCAGCTCCAGTGCCTAAAGGGGCTACAAGAAACCTGAGTAGTGGCTTTGAACAAGGGCCTGCAGGGACAGGCCAAGGGGAATGGCTTTAACCTGCCAGAGGGGAGACTGAGATGAGCTCTTAGGCAGAAGCTCTTCCCTGTGAGGGTGCTGAGGCGCTGGCACAGGGTGCCCAGAGAAGCTGTGGCTGCCCCATCCCTGGCAGTGTTCAAGGCCAGGTTGGACACAGGGGCTTGGAGCAACTTGCTCTAGTGGAAGGTGTCCCTGCCCATGGCAGGGGTTGGAACTGGATGAGCTTTAAAGTCCCTTCAACCCAAACCAGTCTGGGATTCTGTGATTTTATGAATGGTCCTACTCATTAATTTGGAGGTCAGAAAGAGCAGCATTTTAGGGAAGAAGGCCAGATCCAAAATAAAGAGGAAGCCAAAATTAATTCTTAGACTAGAAGCCAGCCTAAATCTTGATATTTGGATAACGAATCAGGTAACATCCACCACACCAAAAGAATCATGAGTATTCAGGGCTCTAGTTTTGCATCTCTGGGTGTAAAACCCTGTGTTCCTTCCAGATTGTATGTTGCCATCTGTCTCTGCTTCTCACCACTCCATTTGGCCACATGCCGCTCATTAGGGCACATGCCAGTAAAAAGGAACATTAACCTGAGGTTTTCTTTTCCCTGTACTCTGTGTGTGCTTCCTTAAGGTAACCAAGTCTGATCTCTCCTGCCCTTGTATAAACATGGTGCTGAGCTGGAACCAACTCCAAGTTCAGGGTAGTTCACATTGTAGGTCTGATTTGATTTCACTGGTGCCTCATTGTGCATGCCTTGAAATCTGGGCATGAGACAGAAAAATAATAGAGGAGAAACAGCTACAGTGCAGGTAGTGGCAGACAAAAGAACCCTTACTTTAGAAGAGAGATCTGTGGAAAAAGTGGAGGAACAAATTCATCAACATCTGTGGTCTGGCAGGTGAAGTGGGTATTGATTCGAGTAAAAGTGGCACAACTGGGCTGCTAAGAGCAAACACAGCTACAAGACAGAGGAACATCTTGTATCTAGGTAGACATGAATGTTCTGATTCTAAAACTTAGCTCAAGGTCATCTCTAAGTGCAGAGTACAAACACAGTAACAGCTATGGTAGCTTGTGCAGCTCTGAATGACAGCTGAATCCCAGCAGTTTCAGATCAGACTCTACATACTGCACGACTTCCCAATAGCAAGGCTTTCCTCCAGGCCATAACCATCTTGCAAACGTAAAGCTGAGCCCAAGACACAGGGAGAACTCCCTACCAACCCCATCCTCTCAATGCAGCCCTCCAACATCTCACGCCTCCTTTCCCTCTCAGTCCCTGCTTGGCTCATTTGCTGCCTGATTTTGCTCCATGCCCACCCTATGCCAGTGCCTCCCCTGCCAGGCAGGGCACGAGCCATGTGGTCTGTACAGCCAAGGCTGCAGGGGAGTGCTGGGGGCACAGAAAAGATCAGCTGTTTGGTGGCATCTCATAGCTGTGAAGGGCTGGAGCTGCTTCATCTCAGATCCAACTGAGTTCTGAGGTCAGCAGAAGTTGTGAGTGTCTGGTATGTGGGGAAGCAAAACGATGTTCTGTGAGTAGTAGGGTCTCACAGCCTCTGCTCAGATGAGAATGCAACTGGAGGTACAAGTCAGAAGCCCCTGGCTATTCCCAGAGACAGGATTTTACTTGCATGAAAGACATATACTCCTTCCCATCTCCTGCTTAGCTAGGAATTGGGTTCCCCTCTTTAGGTAGTGCTTATACCTACAGCCCTTCTCTGCCTTCCAGTTATGTTCATATCTAGAGCCACACAGCTCAGCTTTCTGCTCCATCCTGTGTACCTCTGCTGAATCCCGTTGTACAGGGCTGAGGAAAGACTGTGAAAAGCATCTTGCATATCATGGATACTACTTGCAAGAGAAGAAACAAAGTGAGGACCAAAACCAGCCTTCAGGATTTCAATCAGTGCACACCCAGAGAGAATCTGAATCAACTTCTGGACTCTAGAAAGGTTTTCATTGCTGCCAGAAAGCTTCTTAGAGCCTTCTAGGGGGAGTTTAGAGTTATTTCAGAAACAGGAGGACATTTTTCAAGGGGAGAACTGTACTTTTGGGTATTTCTTTGTATTTCTGAGCCAAGGTGCACCTGCCTTCCATTGATCTCCTGTACAACTGGAAGAAAGCCAACATCCACCTGCAGAGCAAGCCCCCACCAGAGCAGCACGATGCTCCATCAAACACTGGCCACCTATCCATTGTCATGTATCCTGTATTTGTCACTAGCCAGATCAATCCCATGCTGTTCAGCACATTTTAGGAACTCGGACTAATAAATCATTGAAGTGCCTCTCACTTCACAGATGGTAAGTGCAGTTCAATGAAGGTAATTATAAAAAAAATTACTTCTGGAGAAAAAAAATCAAAACATGGGAATATCTGTCTAATAGAAAGGCCTGCAAAGAGATTTGGGAGTTCTAATAATTCTGAGGAGCAGGTTAAAGGTCTGAGAGTCTGACAGTAGGTTTTCCCTCTGATTGACTGAATCGATCCTGTCCTCATGTAACAGCTCTGGGCCCCTGTATCTCTGAGATTTCAGGTCCTGGAAACAGTGCTGAGGAAAAAGACTGTACCTCTCACCGTAATGTGCTGGGTTTTTTCTGTCTGCAAACACAATATCCATCACTACGAAGGCAAGATGATGGAAACGTGCAGATCCTGCAGGGAGCAGGGAAAATACTAAAGCAAGACCCGAATTCCAGTAACAGTGGCAAAACCAAAGTGAATTCCCAATTTTCCATTTGATTTTTGTTGTTGGATTTTGACATGACACGCTGTGACTGTGTCATTTCAACCTACTACTTACATGGTTCTCTCTAACGTGCCAGAATAAAACGCCTTAGTTCTTAGATGACACATATAAAAGGAAAAGGCCCTTCTCAGCCAACATCACTGAAGATGTATTTACAAATGGTCAAACCATTCTCTCCAGCTAAGAGGCTGCAGCAAGTGAAGTCACCTTTGCCCAGGCATTGAGGCCACAGCTACTACCACCTCTGTGATGCATAACCAAAGGAAAGAAGCAAGATAGACTAGAGGAAGCAGTATTTCTGAAGGACCTTTCATTCCAGGAGAGGTTGAGAGATCTGTGATCCACCAGGGCCCTGTCCTGACCCTTCATGTCTGGTCTGGTTTGTCTCTCTGACTTCTGACTTCTCCTTCCATGTCTCCTAGTTCTAGCTTCAGATCTAAGCACAGAAATGGGCTGCCTCACCTTTTCTGGTCTTCTTTATGTAGGAGAGATAGTTCAGCCAAATGTGGGGCTCCCGATATTACTGAGATACAGAACCAAATATTTCTTTTTTTATATGTAACATGCCAAAACCTAATTCAAGAATAACAAAATCCCTCCAGAGTTCCAAGCAGATTCAAAACAAAGATCTGAACTTATCTGTTTACCACTTTCTTTCTTTTTTCACCTCAGTGAAAGATACATTCATGTCCCCCAAGCAATTTACAAAGTCAGTCTTCTTACTCTGCCTACTTTTGCATTAAGCTGTACACCCCATTTTAACAAACCCATTCAGTTTTAAATCACATAAGGCCTTCAACAGAGAGCCTTCAGAGTTTAGGGTGTTTACCTGATCCTCTTACTACCTACTCAGTTGTGATCTTCATCTTGATCTAAAGGCATTACATTGACTATCCCAAGGGCAAGGCTTTGTTTCCAAAGCACCAGGTAAACAGAAGTGGCTGTGTCTCCTCCTTCCAGCTTTCAGAACAAATAACACCTTTTCGATTGCAATTACAATGTGAGGAGCATGACATTTAGTGACGCATTCTGAGCGACCTTAAATCGTTATGTAAAGGAAAATGTACAGGCCAACTGTGAAATATGATTCCAGGGACTGTTAGGAGATTAGAGATATGAATAAACTTGTGGAATAAATACCTGCCTTGGAGCTTTCAGCTGGACCCAATAACAGCCAATCACAAAACCCTTTTTATTATGAAGAGTCCTAACAGCAGCATAAAACATACAGTGCAGCTACAAAAGAGAAGAGTTAAGGTGAGGACAATTTAGGTGTGCTGAAGGCAGGAAGAACAAGCTATATCCCTGAGACCTTGGAACTGCTACAAGAGACTCAAGAGATCTTACCTAAGATCCCTCCCTGGCATTTGAGTACACATCCAAACTGAATCAATAAAGTTCTGAGAGCTATCTAATGTGAGGTAGCAGAAGTTTCGTGATTTTGTAAGTGGTTGAAGCTTTCCTGTTTAGTTTCACTAAAGTCATCAACTAAACCAGTGTATAAACTAGGGAGCCCTGAACTCTTACTCCCTCTCCTACTTTAACAACCACCTCCATTTAATTAGCACTTTTATCAGGCTGAGACATCTCAAGGTGCTTTATGAAAGATGTACTATCGTGGAATCTGCAGTGCCAAGGTAACAAGTGAAATCAAGAAAGCAAAACCAAGAAAAGCCTCAATTTAGATTTATAAAGTGAAACAGGGAAAAAGGACAAAATAGGTTGGGTTCTCAGCAGGCATATACCAGCGACTGACTTCTGTTCTCCATCTGCTGATACTCCAGTACACTGACTTTAGGAAACTTCTACCCAAGTTTCACATTCACGTTTCCACATGTTAGTTTTTTTAATGTACCTAAGAAAGAAAATCTGGAAGCAAAGTTTTAATGTTGCTGACTGTTAACTCCTGACTTCCCTTTAAACTGAGCTCCAGAAGACTGTATGTGGAGAAATTTAGCATTGGTCACCTTGCTTCTATTTCCTGCCTTGCCTGTGGATCAAGAAGTAACATATGTCACATCTCACAGTCAGATGTATGTAGATACCCGCATCTGGTGCAGCGTTATAAGTGAGGCTGATACTAGAACTGA